CGACAATGGGCTGGTTGAAGTTGTCCCCAAAGGATAGATGCTGCAGGTAGGCCGGCCACACGGTACCGACGATTGGCTGGTTGAATGTAACTCCAAATGACAGCTGCTGCAGGGAGGTCGGCCACACGACTTCGTTGATGGGCCGGTTGAAGCGATATCCGAACGATAACTGTTGCAGGGAGTTCGGCCACGCGACGTCGGCGATGAACCGGTTGAAGGTAGATCCAAACGATAGTTGCTGCAGGGAAGCCGCCCACACGACGCCGACGATCGGTTGGTTGAACTTATCCCCAAACGATATCTGCTGAAGGGAGCCCGGCCACACGATATTGGCGAAGCGCTGATTGAAAGAACACCCGAAAGACACCATCTGCAGGGAGGCCGGCCACACGGTTTCGGCGATGGGCTGGTTGAAGGAGTATCCAAACGATAGCTACTGCAGGGAGGCTGGCCACGCGACTTCGGCAATGGGCTGGTTGAAGCGAGATCCATATGACAGCTGCTGCAGCGAGGCCGGCCATGTCACAGTTCATACCGGCGTATCCGAAGCAATTTCCAGCCGTCTGAGTGTTGGAGGCCACACCAGAGGTCGCAGGCTTGCTGCCGACATGTTGCCTTTCAGTCGTCGACATGCTGACCCTGACCATGACTCAATGGTAGAAAACTGCGGCAGGGACTCCATTGGCAACGTCCACGTCAAACCAAAAACCGGCACAGCCGGCACGCGACTCGAGATGCAACTCTCTCGTCGCCTGTTGGGCGTCGTGAATGATTCGCGATGAGACCACAAGCTAGGAGGCGTGCCCGAATTGACGTACACGTCCGAGGTCGGGAAACTTCGGCACGCCTCACAAAACTCCAGCGACGCCAGCTGTAGCTCCATCGTAGACGCATACCAACTCTCGTCCATCGCAAGCCTGGTTCAATGCGACTATAAAAGCGTGCAGGCACTTGCTCTCTCCGAGATAGTGAATGGCAGAAGTAGGAACGCAAATGAAACGCGTTGTGAGCCTTGTAGAGGTTTCTTGATTCTAGCTTCGGGACTGGTCGTTATATCACAGTAAGAAGAGCACAGCCTCCGGACAAGTGCCGACAGCAGCCCTTGGTCATCAAACACAACGGTGCCCTGGGGTACCTGTTTATGCCTGACATCCTTCCTGTGAACACAAATGTGCATACGGTGTTCGTGTACGCATTGATGGAGGAGGTAGGAACACCCGTCTCTATTTCCCCCAAATAGCAGGTCCGTTTTGAAAGCCCCTTCTCTTCGGTTGCAGCCCCAAGCTAACCCGACCCCTCTCACCTTCGGGATTCATGGCAACCGTTGATCACCAATAGCAGTGTGGGCGTGCGTGCAAGGGTCAGAGAGTGCCTATAGCAGCAGACAGTGAATCCCCGTCGAAGGTCGTTCCAATCTGCCCATCCGCCGGCCCGCCAGCACGTGATACAGGTGAAGGTATACTGTGTATTCGTTGGATGCCGCGTCTGCACAACCTCTGTTTCACGATCCGTGCGCGGTTCACGGTGGGGCAATACACACAAAACGAACATTATCCTACATATCGAAACTGTGGACTTTGACTCAAATATTGAAAAATTGCACGCACCATATGTTGTACGCGGCGTCTGCATCCTCTGCTTCAGAATCTGTGGGCAGTAGGGAAGCCTCGGCAGGAATTCATTTCCAAAATGAATATCGGATTTGCCCTACAGTAAATGCGCTCAAGGAACCACATGCAGTACATCCGGGGAATCCTTCCACAAGTTGATACTACATATGTATCCAAGTACGGAACACCGCGAAATTCGTCTCTTTCACTGCTGAAGCCTCAAGAGAACGCGGAGGCAGCTCCAAATCCAATACATTTATAAATGTGCACACGATATTGGCGGCGGGGACAACTAACAGGACGTTCGCGTATCAGCGGTCATTTCCTACTCGGCGTCTGCTTGGCGTCCTGTCTTGGTAGGTACCTAGTGTAGGAATTTTGGCAACTACGCCGCGATTTAGGCACCGAACTTAGTTCCACGTTGCAGGTCGGGGAGCTGCAACTGGTACATGTCACACGCCCACGGCAGGTGGAACCAGCACTCTCCACACTGGCCTGTGAATGAGTGTGGTTTCGCAACCAACAAAATTACAATAACTGTTGATGACAAAGCACACAGTCGCACATACCGAAAGCTCAGAACAGCCCGGGAGAGAGTATCACACAATGATGCCAAGCGAGTGCTCACCCCCACAGGGGATCCGAGTGTGTGCCCCCCCTTTATCTCCACGCCTATCCTCCCACTAGACCACGTCAAGCAACTTGATGGTGCTCTGGCAACGTTGCGACTGCTGGTGCAACAAAGTGTTCGGAGAAAATGAATTGGTGATATATATGGGCGTTATCATAAACCATACTCAGACAATGGAACACATCATCAATCATCTTCGGACAACACACACAATGCGTAGCACGATGGAAGTCCATTACAAAGAACCCTCGTCCTTAGTCCATGGGGACCGACTTTTTCTGAGCTGCAAATCTAACTAGGTTGTCTATTTGCTGGCCGCGGCGATACCTCTCCTCTGGCATTTTCTTTTCTTCATCGAGGTGTGCCATGTTGACCCAATCGGTGTCCCACGGCACCCACTCACACATATTTCACACCCCGCAACATTCTTCCCGCTCAAATTTCATCCACAAGATCAAGATTGTCCCACCTACCATCGTGACCACTCGTGCGCACAACGCGCTCAGTGACCGAAAAAGAGACAAGTCTGATATATAACGTCGTAGGAATTCAGGGGGAAAGGTGGTGAAGCGTGCGGCCCTCGTGTGTGTTGAGCAAAGGGGCTTTTCAGGTTTTCGCGGGCGAACTCGACGTATTCTATCTGCAAACCGCTCGACCCAGACCGCTGTGGTCCCGGAACGTCGATACTTTGCCGCGTTTCGGCAATGAATGATCCGCTACGAAGAAGAGGTGTATTCGACGATGAGGTTATTTGCTTTGAACGATTCGAATGTGTCATTGTTCCCACCGTCAAGCAGCTCCGGGCTGGCTGTAGTCTAGCGTAGAGCCAAGTCACGTGTTAAAGTTGAAGGGCTTTCATATGGAAATCAGCAACAATGTGGGCATCTAGACGATGGTGTCATCATCTTATCGGTTGAAGTGTCGTTGCTACTTGTTGCTACCGAGAATGAGTACAAGTTGAGGTTTGTGTTGAATGTGCTCATTCTCGGTAGCAACAAGTAGCAACGACATTTCAACCGATAAGATGATGACGCCTTCATCTAGATGTGATGATGACACATCGTCTAGATGCCCACGTTGTTGCTGATTTCCATATGAAAGCCCTTCAACTTTAACACGTGACTTGGCTCTACGCTACACTACAGCCAGCCCGGAGCTGCTTGACGGTGGGAACAATGACACATTCGAATCGTTCAAAGCAAATAACCTCATCGTCGAATACACCTCTTCCTCGTAGCGGATCATTCATTGCCGAAACGCGGCAAAGTATCGTTCATTGTGAGCGTTGTACAGCACCACCAAGTGTCGTGGAGTTACGAGCGGGTTGTCTGGACGCGTTCCGATGAGAGAGGGGGTTGGTGTGATTGGTTCCACCGAACGAAAAATAATAGTTACTCTGATGGGTAGAATTTTGCCTGGAGTTTTCCGATGATGGCCTCACGGCTGTGTACATGATGCTCAAAACACAGGTGGCTACATAATGTCACCCGCCAAAAGGCTGCTCCGTCAGTATGTATTACAGTGATTGTGGTCGTTTTTGGATGTCGCAATCGTCGGCCCATACGACAAGATCCACTCACAGCAGGGGATGTACCAAAGCCATTTCAATGAAGTAGTGACGGACGTGTCCAGGCAGTTCATTGCCGTGTCAGCGGTATTTGTATCAAAGGTGGTATACTGTAGTCAGCGCCGGCCGGCCATATCCTCTGTCTGCTGCTTTTAGCAGGCAAACCGTTGAAACTCTTTAGACATATGCCTCACAAACATACATCCCCTCGTCATCATGCGCAGCTGCGGTTCCGCTACTCGGCGGTGGTCATATGGTTGGGGACGGTGCAATGCATTAGTCTAGGGAACTTCTGCATTACGGTTACCTGTGAGTCGAGCGGTATATTGGTACCAACATCGCACATGTGTCTTGGGGTGCTGGGCGTTGGGTTCTGCATCATACCTCGCATCAAGCGTCCAGCATGCGCACACTACACAAGACACGACGACGCGCCTGCATCCACCGCATCCACGCAATCCTACATGCGTGAACGTACGGGGTCGCCAACGAATTAACCGGTTCCAAACAGCGCCCGTTGCCAAGTATAAGTCGATGTGGTGTCAGGGAGGTACAATAGAACGCGGAACGTGCCCAGCAAACCAAAAAAAAAATTCCGACCCCTTTGACATGGCACACTAGTCTACGGTAGGAGTAGTATGCGCGTGGACCGCCGGGCAAATCAGTTAACCACTGGAAGGACATCTGTAGGGAAGCTCTCTCGACAGCACTATGTGCAGGTTTTCCCACTCGTTGCATGCGAACCTCACCACAACTAAGAAATACCATGGTAGATCTTTAGGCACGTCCCTCCATTCGAAGCTGTCGCAAACTCGAGTCTAGTGAATAAGAGCGACCTTCTGCCGGACGCGTCTTGCGGCCGTTGATCTCATTAGATGGGCGACAGACGAACCAGCTGGTCGACGAAAAGACGCCAGGCTCAACCGAGCGCATGCTTCTTGAAGTAGCATCGACCAAGCGAATCAGTTGGAAAATGAAGTCTTGGTGTGAGGGTTAGCGAGCAAATGAAAAACGGCCCAGGTACGTGTGTTTGAATTTGGAACTCATTCCCGGCCGGCCTTCCAGCCCAGGTCCCACAACCACATTGAGCAGTACACATGAGACAAAAATGACATCAACAGCGGGCACTTCACTGACCATATACTCCCCCCGCTGTCTAACCAAGAAAACAAACATGCGACGCTGTTCGACACGCTCGACTGAATCCCACAACCACATTACACTTCCAATCCTCGCACCAAAACAGCAACACATTCTCCCCGCCCTCTATCCGCAAAAACTGCTTAAAACCACCGGCATGCAGCCAAAGAAAGAGAAGCCAGCAGGTTCTTCCCGACGTCATGTGCCTAATTCGCGCCATGCTCTGTCCCCCCATTGAAGGGAAGGATGTGACTAAATCGCATGCTCATCAGGGGTTTGCCGAGAAACCGCCAAACGGGAAACAAACAAAAATACAAGCTCGAGCAACGGCTACATGTACATAGGCCACACGGCAAATTGCCGTACGAAACGCAACAACACTTGATATACCGTTTCGGCATACTATACTGGTTACAACGTTACAACCGGGAAAACCGACCAAGAACCGCTCTAAACCGCAACAGCGACTGGACACAAACGTGTGATTGTGAAACGAACTGCCTGTAAAATCGATAATTGATTTGATAGTGTGTGCTGCGTGAACAGATGAACATCTATCTTCTTCTCCAATGATGGACGGGATGGGCAGAGGCCACCTTCCGCTCTCAGCTCACGGGGTCCAACGCCTACCCCTTGCCCCTGCCCTCGGAGGGCACCAATCTCTGTAGGCGCTCTTCTCCACTCCCTTCCCGGTCCTCTCGGGCAGACTGTCCCAGCAGGTTGCCAACGCCCTCGAACAAACATGGGTTCGACCTGGAGACTTAGCTATCCTCTACCTCGAACACCAAACGTGCTTTCAACCCTCTCTTCTGCGCCTATAACCACCTATCTCTACAGTTTAAAGATGAACCAACTATTGGCCCCTGAGCCCGTCTTGCGGAGGCCGGCGCCACCGCGTTGGCCGCCGCCGCCGCCGGCTCTCGTTGCCGCCAGCTCGCTCCGACATCAAAGACTCTCGTCCCTCACGACCTCCCCGTTCCTGTCCCAACGCCTCCTTGTTTCAGAACCCGCCACAAGGCCGCAAACACCCACCACCGCGTCTGCTCTGCCGCTGGTGCCGCACCAGACCCTCTAGGTCGAGCCTCGGCCTAGCTCCGAGCATCACCACTATTTACCAGCGGCGTTACGCCCCCCCTTCGGAGACAGCATGGGGCGGAACCGATCATCAGTAGAGCTTGGGCTCTCCGCCGAACAGGGACGGCCCGTCCTCCTCCTCCTCTTTCGTCCCAGTCTCCTCGTGGTCGGCGCTTGCGCCTGCGCCTGCGCCTGCGCCTGCGCCGCCGCCGACAGAAACAATAGCTGCGTTACCGCCGCCCAGCCCTCCGATTGACGCCGTCTTGTGCTGCCCAGCCGCCGGCCCGATTGATCCCCTCCGGAGCTTCACCGACGCGCTCGCCCGCCTGCGGGCCCGAGACCTAGGCGTGAGGTTTTCCAAAGCCCTCGGCGAAAGTATTCCTGCGCGTAGGGCGCGCGGGGGGGGTGTACTCATAGTCGTGCATGCCGTAGTCGTTAGACCATTGACCTCGCGCATCCCTACAAAGCCGGGACGGAGCACGCCGGGTTCTCACCGGACCAGGCTCTCACATCACCAAGCGCGAAGCGCCATGAGTTATTCGGGGAGTCGCATGAAGGGTGCGCTGCATCCTGCTAGGGGTGTTCGGCATCTTGTGCTTACTTCCTTGCGTACGGATGACAGCTGCGTATGACTTAATTTATTTTCTGGTGCTTTCACTTCCAGAGACAGTTATAAGCACTGTGTAAGTAACTGCCTCGAGGATGCTTGACCATTTTAACACAACGTGGCGCGATCATCCCCCTTGCGCGGAGTGAGGGTTCTCCACCCCGCACAACATGATCTACTCGACCACCATTACGTTACCGCCAAAAAAAAAGAGGTAAAAGAAAAAAAACGGTAACCTGGTTGCCGGGTTCACGAAGTGTATTGGCTTGTTTTACCACATCGTTGCCAAGCGACGAAAACCCAATCCCGATGGCAAACACCGAGGGGGGGACTTGTTTTACAACGTCGTTGCCACGCGACGAAAACCCAACCCCGATGGCAAACACCGGGGGAGGGCGGGGGGGCTTTAGATGTACTGTTTTGTGTAATGGGGAGGAGAAACAGGTGGGGGCCCATCGCCCAGGTGGTCTACATGGTAGAGAGTTGTCTAGCGGCTAGACTGCCAGACGGTTTTCTTGTATGTATCGAAATACGTTCGTAGAAAATCAGCATCTACACTTCGGGGCAAGAACCACCGCACTATTCTGGCAATGAAAAGCGAGACAAATGGGCCGCGGGGGAGGTCTGCCGTGTAGCCACGGACCGGGATTCTTCAAGTGGATAGGTAATACAACCAACAAGGTAGGGGTAAATCGTGAACAAGGCCGAAGTACAGGACGGATCGAACAAAAAAAGCAAAGCTATGGATTGTGACAAGACGCTCTCGTACATGATCACAAGCACTGCAAGCATTCGTTGAACGCCCAAAAAAGTCGACAATCACCTCCCCCCGCTCAATCGCAAAGAGCCGCATATCCCTCCCGAAAAAATCGCCTCGCGGGAAACACCACGCCACTCCACTCGTCTTGGCCCGGTAGCACAAAAACACCGACTCAATCCCACCATCCTTGGTAAATTTCCAAAAACAATTCGCCTTACCTCCCGCCCGGGGGCTGCTTCCCGCGTCCGGAACACCCTCGCCCTGCGCATCCACCTCGCCCCTGCTGCCCGGGCCGAAGAAGTGGCTCCCGCCGCCGTCGCCGCCAACGCCGCCACCGTCTCGGCTTGGCGCCGTCGCGACGACCCGCGGCGTCGGGGACGTGAAGCCCCCGGCAGCACCTCCCTCACCGGCGGGAGGGTCTGCTCCCTTGCTAGCCAAGCCTGCGGTCGCCGCCGCCGCCGCCGCCGCTCCGCCTGAGACGGGTGCCCCAGATCGCGTCGGCGAGGTAAAGGTGAAACGCCTCGTGGGGGATCCAAACGTGAACGGACTCTCACCCCCCCCATTTCGTCTCCCGCGGGGCCCCTCGGCCGGCACTGAGCACCCCGTAGGGGGCGCCTTGGCTGCGACCTCTCGTTCGTCCCTGTTCTCTGTGGACGATGAAGATGTCGCCGCGGCTGGCGCCGCCGAAGCCGCACCCGGAACCGGTGCCCCGAACACGAAACCCCCGCCTCCTCCGGACGCGCCGCTGGACCCTCCCAGGATGCCCGCCCCACCCAACACGCCAGACGCCGCCACCTTACCCTCTCGCCCCGGCCTCACCGTCTCGCACGACGCGCACTTCAAAGCCGCCTCGGCGTTAGACACCAAGCACGCGGCGCACTTCCACCCACCTGCTTGGCTCTTCACCAGAGACGCAAACCCGGCGTCCTTCGGCGCACGTCCGACTGCGTTGGGGCTGCTCTCGTCCCCTTCTCCCCATTCGTCGTCCGATGACTCCTCATCACCGAACAGCCAGTCCATGTACCACGCTAAGAACGACTGCCTCTCCAACCGGCCATCCGTGCAGATGGCCAGCAGTTTCGGCTTGTGGTCCTCGACGGCGTAGGTGGTGCCGACCGCTTCCATCAGGGCCTCGAACTGGCCCTCTTCCACCCACCCCTTGGCGGCGCTGTCGACCTCTGTGAAAGCCTTCTCGGCCTTGGCCCTCTCCTCCCTGCGCTCCTCCTCGTCCTCACTATCATTATCGCTGTCGACGTCCGAGCCGTCGGCCACAAGTGCGGGCTCGCCCTCGACCGTATCGACGGACACCACGCCAGGAGCAGGCGCTATGTCGGTGGCTGAGGCTGACGACTTGGCCGCCACCGGCGCACCAAACGTGAATCCTCCCGCTGCGTTGGTCCCCGCGCTAGGCTTCGACGAGGGGGCGGGTGACGGTGTCGCCCCTGAGGCAGGCGAGGGAGCTCCGAAGGAAAAACCCCCGGCACCGCTGCCAGCCGGAGCAGTTGAAGACGCCGCGGCCGTCTTGGCAACGGGAGCAACGGGCGACCCGAACGTGAAGCCACCCGTGGGCCCGCCGCCCGACCCTCCCAGGATGCCCGCCCCACCCACCGCACTAGACGCCCCGACCTTACCCTCTTGCCCCGGCCTCACCGTCTCGCACGACACGCACTTCAAAGCCGCCTCCGCATTAGACACCAAGCACACGGCGCACTTCCACCCACCCGCCTGGCTCTTCACCAGGGCAGCAAACCCGGCGTCCTTCGATCCCTCAGCGGCCACGCCGGATTTAACCTCCCCCTCCTCGTCCGATGACTCCTCATCGCCGAACAGCCAGTCCATGTACCATGCCAAGAACGCCTGTCTCTCTAACCGCCGGTCCGTGCAGATCGCCAGCAACTTCGGTTTGTGGTCCTCCACGGCGTAGGTGGTGCCGACCGCTTCCATCAGGGCCTCAAACTGGCTCTCTTCCACCCACCCCTTGGCGGCGCTGTCGACCTCCGCGAAAGCCTTCTCGGCCTTGGCCTTCTCCTCCCTGCGCTCCTCCTCGTCCCCGCTATCGCTCCCAGTATCACTTCCGCCGCCACCGACGTCAACCGACGAGCCAGAGCTGATCGCAACCGCGTGCTCATCCGCCGCAGCGCCGGGCAGCGACCCAAACGTGAGGCCGCCGGTCGAGCTGCCGCTTGTCAAGCCCGCGCCACCGGCCGAATCACCTCCAGTGTCCCCCGAGCCAGCACAAGGCTTACTCTCCGGCTTCTCGGCGGGAGCTGCGCTGGTTTGAGCGGGCGGCGAAACTCCGAAGGAAAAGCCTCCCGCGGCGGTTGTTGCCACAGCGGTAGTGGAAGACACCCTACTCGCCTCGGCCGCCGCCGCCACAGCGGTATTGCACGGAGTTCCGAAGGTGAACCCACCCGCAGACCCGCTGCTGGGACCTCCCAAGATGCCGGCCCCGACATTACCCTCTTCCCCTGGCTTTGCCGTCTCGCACGACACGCACTTCAAAGCCGCCTCCGCGTTAGACACCAGGCACGCGGCGCACTTCCACCCACCCGCCTGGCTCTTCACCAGGGCAGCAAACCCGGCGTCCTTCGATCCCTCAGCGGCCACGCTCGATTTAACCTCCCCCTCCTCGTCTGATGACTCCTCATCGCCGAACAGCCAGTCCATGTACCACGTCAGGAACGCCTGCCTCTCCAACCGGCCATCCGTGCAGATCGCCAGCAGCTTCGGCTTATGGTCCTCCACGGCGTAGGTGGTGCCGACCGCTTCCATCAGGGCCTCGAACTGGCTCTCTTCCACCCACCCCTTGGCGGCGGTGTCCACCTTGTCGAAGGCCGCCTCCGCCTTGGCGCTCTCTTCCCTGCGCTCCTCCTCGTCTCCACTATCGCTATCGCTGGCACCATCACTATCATCGTCGGAGTTGTTGCCCACTACTGTTGGCGCCACCTCGGCCTTATCGGCCGGTACTATCGCAGGGGTAGCAGTTCCTGTGTCCGCCGCTGAGGCCGCCTTTACCGGCGCACCAAACGTGAAGCCTCCCGCTGCGTTGGTCCCCGCGCTAGGCTGCAGCGAAGCGGCGGGTGACGGTATAGTCCCTGGGGCGGGGGAGGGGGCTCCAAAGGAAAAACCCCCGCCACTGCTGCCAGCCGGAGCAGCTGAAGACGCCGCGGCCGTCTTGGCAACGGGAGCAACGGGCGACCCGAACGTGAAGCCACCCGTGGGCCCGCTGCCCGACCCTCCCAAGATGCCCGCCCCACCCACCGCACTAGACGCCCCGACCTTACCCTCTTGCCCCGGCCTCACCGTCTCGCACGACACGCACTTCAAAGCCGCCTCCGCGTTAGACACCAAGCACACGGCGCACTTCCACCCACCCGCCTGGCTCTTCACCAGGGCAGCAAACCCGGCGATCTTCGATCCCTCAGCGGCCACGCCGGATTTAACCTCCCCCTCCTCGTCCGATGACTCCTCATCGCCGAACAGCCAGTCCATGTACCATGCCAAGAACGCCTGCTTCTCCAACCGCCCGTCCGTGCAGATCGCCAGCAGCTTCGGCTTGTGGTCCTCCACGGCGTAGGTGGTGCCGACTGCTTCCATCAGGGCCTCAAACTGGCTCTCTTCCACCCACCCCTTGGCGGCGTTGTCCACCTTGTCGAAGGCCGCCTCCGCCTTGGCTCTCTCTTCCCGGCGCTCCTCCTCGTCTCCACTATCGCTATCGCTGCCACCATCGTCGTCAGAGCTATCGGCCACTACGACCTTGGCTGTTGCTACCGTAGCCGCGGAAGGTCCTGCTGCGGGCGCTGAGGCCGACGATTCGGTCACCACCGGCGCACCAAACGTGAAGCCTCCCGCTGCGTTGGTCCCCGCGCTAGGCTTCGACGAAGCGGCGGATGAAGATGTAGCCCCTACCACGGCGCAAGGAGCGCCGAACGAGAAGCCCCCGGCACCGCTATCAGCCGGGACAGTGGAACCCGCAGTCGCCGTCTTGGCAACGGTAGGGACTGGTGCCCCGAACGTGAAGCCCCCTGTGGGGCCGCCGCCCGACCCTCCCAAGATGCCCGCCCCACCCACCGCACTAGACGCCCCGACCTTACCCTCTTGCCCCGGCCTCACCGTCTCGCACGACACGCACTTCACAGCCGCCTCCGCGTTAGACACCAAGCACGCGGCGCACTTCCACCCACCCGCCTGGCTCTTCACCAGGGCAGCAAACCCGGCGATCTTCGATCCCTCAGCGGCCACGCCGGATTTAACCTCCCCCTCCTCGTCTGATGACTCCTCATCGCCGAACAGCCAGTCCATGTACCACGCCAAGAACGCCTGCTTCTCCAACCGCCCGTCCGTAGAGACCATCAGCAGCTTCGGCTTGTGGTCCTCCACGGCGTAGGTGGTGCCGACCGCTTCCATCAGGGCCTCGAACTGGCTCTCTTCCACCCACCCCTTGGCGGCGTTGTCCACCTTGTCGAAGGCCGTCTCCGCCTTGGCCTGTTCTTCCTTACGCTCCTCCTCGTCTCCACTATCGCCGTCGCTGTCACTACTACCGTCGGTGTTATCAGGAGATTCTGTTAGCTCCACCTCGGCCTTACTGGCCGACGCAATCGTAGCGGTGGGGGTTCCTGCGGTGGGCGCTGAGGCCGACGACTTCGCCGTCACCGGCGCGCCAAACGTAAATCCTCCCGCTGCGTTGGTCCCCGCGCTAGGCTGCAACGAGGCGGCGGGTGACGGTGTAGCCCCTGCGACGACAGAAGGAGCTCCGAAGGAAAACCCCCCGCCACTGCTGCTGGCCACCGCAGTTGAAGACGCCGTGGCCGTCTTGGCAACGGGAGGGACAGGCGAACCAAAGGTAAACCCACCCATAGGCCCGCTGCCCGACCCTCCAAAGATGCCTGCCCCACCTAACACGCCAGACGCCGCCACCTTACCCTCTTGCCCCGGCCTTACGGCCTCGCACGACGCGCACTTCAAAGCCGCCTCGGCGTTAGACACCAAGCACGCGGCGCACTTCCACCCACCCGCCTGGCGCCTCACCAGAGCAGCAAACCCGGCGTCCTTCGGTGCTCGCCCGACGGTGTTGGGGCTGCTCTCGTCCCCTTCCCCCCCCTCCTCGTCCGATGACTCCTCATCGCCGAACAGCCAGTCCATGTACCATGCCAAGAACGCCTGCCTCTCCAACCGGCCGGCCGTGCAGATCGCCAACAGTTTCGGCTTGTGGTCCTCCACGGCGTAGGTGGTGCCGACCGCTTCCATCAGGGCCTCGAACTGGCTCTCTTCCAGCCACCCCTTGGCGGCGCCGTCGACCTCCGCGAAAGCCTTCTCGGCCTTGGCCTTCTCCTCCCTGCGCTCCTCTTCGTCCCCGCTCTCGTCAGTGGCATCAGCGTCGGCATCGTCCTCCTTGTCCGAGGATGTGCCGCCGGAACCGGTTTCGCGCACAACGCCAGCAGCGCCGCCGCCGCCGCCGCTTCCACCCTGGTCGGCCACCGCCGGCGCATCGACCGCAGCCGCTTTCGGTTTTCCTGCTGCTGGGACGGCACTACTGCTGTTGCCGCTGCCGCTTCTCGACCGCGGCGGTCGTCCTCCTGAGCCCACGGCGGCCTCGCCGGCGGGCCCGGCCGCGCCCGCCGCCTCTCGCTGCTCCCTCCTCGCGCCCGCGTACCACTCCAGGAACCGGTCGCGGGGGAGCCGGGGGACGCACAGCTTCAGCAGGGCCTGCCCGTGCTTCTCCGTCTCGAACGGCAGCCCGGCGCTGCCGACGAGGGCCTCAAACTCCTCCCGGCCGACCCACCCGGTGCCCGCGTCGTCCAGCCGGTCGAACGCCGCCCCCGCCGCGCCGCCGTGGGGCCTCGGGCTGGAGCCGCTCCGCCGCCGGTCCGACGAGGGCGTGAGAGTGGCCACCCGAGCCGCCACCGCGGAGAGGTCGCGCGGGGGGGTCGCAAAGTAGCGGTTGTGGACGGGGGGGGTGCTGAAGCCATCCTTGCTGCCGCCGCCGCCGCCGCCGCTCGTGGAAGGCGCGGCGGCTGTTGGGGGAGCACCGGCGGCGGCGGCCGGCGCCGCCGCGCTCGCGAAGTTGGGAGGTCCAGACGCAATAGCAGCCGCCAGGGAACCGAACGAAGACGCTACGGACTGGACGCGAGGCGTGCCGGGGAGCCCCGAAGAGGACGCACCGCCGAGCGGGAAGACCACCGCCTCTTTGCTTCGCTTTTACCGCCACCTCCTCGCCCGTCCTCTTGCTATCGCTTTGAGCAGCCACCGGGGAAGCGGCAGCGCCAGCTTGGCCGAACGACGGAACCGCCGGGGTCTTCGGCCCAGACCCGAAGATTCCCCCGCCACCGCCACCGGACCCGCCGCCTACGGTACCGTCCCCAAAGCTTGCGGCCGCGCCCCCAAAGTTCGCGGCGGCACCCCCAAAGCTCGCGGCGGCGTTCCCAAAGCTCGCGGCGGCACCCCCAAAGCTCGCGGCGGCGTTCCCAAAGCTCGCGGCGGCGCCCCCAAAGACTGGAGTAGTTGCGGCGCCTCCGAAGCCTGTCGATGAGAAACTCGACCCCGTCGTTGCCGCGGACGGGGTGCCGAGGTTCGATGGCCGGCCAAAGACCGCGGCGGAGGCGAGGGGGGTCGCCGGACTAGAGGACGCGAACATACCCCCGGTGGGCGGCGGGACACTAGCTGGGGTGGCTGCGCGCTCAACTTCGGTTCCGTCCTCCTTGAGCTGCCCGCAGCGGGAGATTACCACCTATTAGATACGTTCGGCAGCGATAACGAACGAATGGTCCAAGGCAAGGAAAACACGAGCGGGAAAAAGGCGTTAGATTAACCAGAGGGAAGCCAGCGGAAGGGTCAAGTTTCAAACCACCCACGTCGCCGTAGTGAGCCCAGCGGGATCCTCAAGCAAAAAATGGGCTCTGGCTGCTGTATTTCACTGCAACGACGATATAGGAAACGAAAGCATGCGCATACGGCCACCGTATTGGGCTTGCGTGTCCACGACAATTTGATCTAAAAACGCCAACACAGTGACAACGACAACTTGAAATAACGTGAAAGATTGCCGCATTCCACAAATGACCATACCCTCGGTGAACGCATTTTCGGCCTTCAAGAATAATTTCACTGGCCGTGGTATTTTTTCTGTTGGGGGTATGGTTTCTTCTGTGAGGATGTTATCTTGTGTGAAATACGGTGAGCGCAGGTCGAGCACGGGGTAGCATGAGACACCTCTCCTTACCCGCTGGTCCGACGCCGGTTTCCCGTCCCTCTTGGGCTCAAGCAGCGTCACCGATTTCATGCGGTCTAGCACCTTAATCCCGCTCTCCACTTCCCCAAACACCACGTGCTTCCCGTCCAGGTGGGCAACAGCCTGAAATCGTCAGCAGAACGATTTGGCGGGGGGGGGGGGCGGGAGCAGAATAATTATTGCGTCACAAAGGGTCGTGAACAACGCGCTGGGCAGTCCCGAGATGAAGGGCAATCAATACGTTTGAAAGAGCAACCACGGCATTCGAGGCACGCATCGCCAAGAAGCGAGCGTTAGGGGTAGAGTTAGATAGGGCCCACTTGCTTGCCCGACGACCATCTCTCAGGGAAAAAAGCCGTTCTTGCTCTCACGTTCCACGAAGAAGCGCATGCCCTTTTGGTGAGAACGGCAAAAGCCAGCAAGCAACAACAACCAACAGGCACAACATTTCGCGCGAAGCGATGGATCACGCACAGAGCAGGTAGGAAACTCCATACAAGTGTGGCGAATCGCGAATGCGCACGGCAGGGTGAGACGAGTGTTAAGCTTATTGGACTGGGATGAGGGATAAGGGATAAGGGACAGTGTTAAGGTGAGGGTTGGGGTTTCTCCTTCCTCGTTCTCGCCTTGAGGGTGATGAAGAACTGGCTGTTGTTGGTGTTCGCGCCCTTGTTGGCCATGCTCAGCAGTCCCAGCTTGTGGTGTCGCATGAACGGCTCGTCCTCGAACTTGTCCTGCCATGAGTGGACATGTGTAGTGCAGAAGGGGGCAGGCTGAAAGATCAGTGGACTATACACAAGTGGTCTGGCGGATTTCGCCGCCCCGCTCAATAGATCGATTCCAAGATACGCGATTAGTGGTACTAAACATTCGTGGTAGGTAGCCAAAATACAGTAGCAGCAGCAGCAGCGGCAGCAGCAGGGGCAGGGGCAGGAATGGCCGCAATACGGGAAGGAATGGGACAGGCGGCCGGTGACGAAGCCTACACACCAGGATCTTCCTCGGCCATGGTGCTCCAACCTCTTTGAAAAAGGGCACGTTACCCTGCTGTGCAACCAGCAAGCACACAGCTCGTTCAATGCATGCGATGTTTGGCCATTAGAGGCCCCTTTCGCACCCCACTAAATACCCATTCGTCGAGAACGAAGCTACCGTACAGTCCCACCGCAACACTGACACCCACCCCGTAGATGGACTTTCCCCCACGGCCGTCCCCCCTGGTGAAGTCGCCTCCCTGTACCACGAAACCGGGGATGATCCTGTGGAAGGCGCTTCCTTCGTAACGAAGCCCGCGTCCCTGCGCGAGAGAGACGGCCAAGATTTCGAGCAGACGCGGGAAACGGGAAACAAGAGTTATATGTCAAGGCCTCGAGCACTCAGTAGTACTACCGACCCACGCAACAAAAACCTGAACAGTAATGCCTATGCCTCCAGCACTTGGTGTAGTACTATTGATAGCGATCCACGAAAAACAAAAGGTGTCGTCGAAAAACGTGGTTCTCAAAACACCCCAGAGGTATCACGACCAGTGGCACCAGCTTACGCACGGAACTCCTCTCACTTTCTCCCCCGTGCAGAGCGCGCGGAAGTTCTCCGCAGCCTTGGGGGTCTTGTCGGCGAAGAGCCGGAACACCAACCTCCCAACGGCCTCCCCGCCCACCTGCAGCCAGGTACAAACACGAGACAGACACGGCGGTGAGAAGCACAACAGGCTTCAGAGGCCAAAACAGACAACACAATTGTCCTCGGGAACTCTAACGGAAAATAATCCTCGACTATACAACACGCCTCACGCCTCGCTTCGGGATATGTATCACACTACTCCAGACAAACGAGTCCCCGACAGCAGTGACACAAAGGCCGACAATGCCAACCCGGAACAAAAACGAGCTAGCGAGAGCTGAACACAACGCAACACATTTCAAAAAGTTTGCGATCCACGCCAGCTACAGTACTACATACGGCACAAATCAACCATGTCTCGGCGGCGGGAAAAATATGTCAACTCTGTGATCAACCCCGCTGCCCCGAAGCGCCGACGATGCCAACGGTACTCTTGGCCTTTACCGAGCTAAAACAAAACAAACATCACAACCAACAGAACCAAGGTGAACGGAAACACAAGGAAAAAGCCAACAGCCCGTTTTCCTAACCTCGATATCCATGAAGCACAACGGGCCGTTGCCGGAAGCGGGAGGAAGGCCTGTAGCTGACACATATTTCTCATCCAATCGCTGACCAACAAACGGTTTTGATGTACGGGCGACGCAAGGGGGCGATCGCGAGGGAGAGAGACAAGAGAAAAGAGAGGCGTGTCCGATAAGAGACAAGGGAAGGGGAGCGCACAAAGTTAGCGAGAGGTCTTCATGGGAGCGGACAACTGACCAGTCCACGGAAGGCAATGGCAGTGCCACACACGAGTCTCTTTTATCCGTTTGAGCTCCATCCCTACAGTAGAGTCAAGCCACCACGACAACGCAACAGCACCCATCGATATCTCACGGCACCCTCTCCCCCCACTCTGGCTGCAACACGCAAGCGCGATGCCCTTCACCGGAAGGGTAGGTACCTTTAGCATGACGGCCCACTTCCCCTCGTACTTATCCAGGGTTTCATCCACCGTATGAAGCTTGTCTCTGTTGTGTTCCTCGTAGATGGCCACCACCTGACGAAGGTCAAGGTCATGGCAAAGCTTCAGCACCCACACCATCGCTTACATGTACACCTTCAACGGACATTCACTAATCTAATCGGTAGCAACTAGACAAGAGGGGTGAGGAGCAAAGCTCAAAAGTATGGAAGCAAGATGTCGCGAGCTGGTGCGCCTCTAGGTCGAGCGTTCTGCAAAAAATGCCTGCTTCTCGCACGGGAGTCCGCGCCGAGTCATGCCGCTTTAACAGAAAACATCAAGATTGTATCCACCTATACAGATGCTTTTGTTTTTAGCACCAACTGGCATCACTGATAACTCAGTGTATAGGCTTACACAAACTCAAAATAAGCCCAGTTTCCAGTCGGTTTCAATCCATTTACTGAAAAGACTTCAACACACCCCTTTCGACTGAGGCTATATCTCGAACGGGTACTTTCTAGAAAACATCAGCATGCCCAAAGAAAACGCAAACGGCCTTAAGAACAAGCACACAAACCGCATAGACAAGCGGAAGAGGCCAACAAGCTCTCGCCCAAACACCACGCCCATGCGCAAGTGTAAACCAACCACAGACTAGACCTGTCGGAAGAACGAAGGCCTCATAAACCACATCCCTCCCCCTACCAAGCCGTCACTCACAGAGGGCAAGCAGCCAACCGTCTCACCTTCGCCCGTACCGCCCCCCGATCCAGTACCTCCCCTTCCCCGCCCTGGCTTCGAACTTCCGGCGCCCCCTCTAGGTGCTTGCAAGCGCCCCCGTCTCCTTCGCGCCCGGGAGCAGCAGCAGCAGCAGCAGGCGCGGGGGGCGCGGCAACGGCTCCTTGGGTTCCTGGCGGCAAAGGGGGGGTACCCAGCCCCCCCTTGCCGGGAGCCCGGGGACTAACCCCGCCCTCGGCGGGCAGCGGCTTGGCGGTGTCGGCTGCTCCGTTCACACGAGGAGAACGGGGGGGGAGGCAGCCGTTCTCTCGTTCTTCTTGCTGAGACCGCACCTTGCGCCTCCTCCTCCCTTCCTCCCCCTCGCCGCCGTCGTCCTTCTGTGCTTCCTCCTCCTCCTGCTCCCTGCGCCAGGCCATGCGCTGCTCGAGCGTAGGCGCCGCGCCCATCGTGCGGCGGCGGGATCCCTCACGGGCCTTGGAGGCCTTCCTCCACAGCTCCTCCGCGCGTCGGAAGTGGCTGGTCTCCCCGCGGGTCGCCGGCAGAGGGGACGCCGCCTGTGTGGAGAAGGAAGGTGGTGTTGTTTTTTCATTCAACGTTGTTGTTTCTGTTGTATTGTCGTTGTTGCTGTTGGTGATGGTGGCGGTGTTGCTGTTGTGGTTGTCAACGTTGTTTCTGTTGGAGTTGTCGATGTTGGTGGTGGTGTCGTTGTCATTGATGTTTTCAATGTCATTGTTTCTGTTGTTGTTGTTGTTGTTGTTGTTGTTGTTGGTGGTGCCATTGTCATTGTTGTTGTCGGTGTTGCTGTTTGTGTTGGTGGTGGTGGTGCTTGTTGTTCTGGTTGCAAGCTCGCATGGTTTGTGCACAAGGTGGGTGTGTTTGACTCGGTATGCAGTCTACAGGTCTACAGGCGACACCCTAACGACGAGCCCACAGTAGTGCTGAGGCGACGCAAGCGCGGTGCTAGACGGCACCGCTTCGTCGTACCTCCGGAAACTCTAACCAAGGGTCACCGGGGAGATAAATTCTAGCGTCGAGGTTGAACGGCGCTTCTCGTCGCACGCAGCAAGCGGCGGTGTTAGGCCATCGTGACGACACCACGCCAACAGACATCAATTTTTCCGAATAGGGAGGTGCGAGGATGAAATTGATCTTCCCACTTCCATGACCGCGCGCTATCATCACAATTACAGTAAGGATACGAGAGAATGCACGGTTCGGTGACACCGCGCGTACGGTACCGGTGATACCGTGCGATAAACACGATGATCGCACGGGGTCCCTGATATCGCACGGCGGTGCGGTATCACCGATGCCGAGTGCCCCGGTGGTTCCGGGGTATGCACTGCGCCGGAGGTACCTCGCGGTTTCATCGTGAAAGGTGTGTATGTATGAATACGTTTGTGTTCTCTGTGTGTGCGTGTCCTGCAGTACGGCCGTGACATATTTGGTATCGCACGTGTCGGGGTTTTCGAACGGGGGTGTATGCCGAAAGCACCCAGTACCGGTACTACTGCCGAAGAGTTTATGGATTTACTCCGAATCGCACGCATTGGGGATATCGCACCCCCAGTGCGATAAACGTTCAGGGCCCATGTGGTTCAATTCGATTATCCAATAGGGATCGGTGACATCGCACATACTGTCACACCCCCGTGGGTTCTATCACCTCTTCATGGTATGATCTAAGGCCTGCCAAACCTAAGCGGTCTTATACCGCGCGCGACCGCAACAAAAACCGAAAATCCAACACGCAAACCGCAAACTCGTTTCGCCCCCCTGGTCCCCTTGCTCACCGTCGAAGGCGACTCTGCGCGCCCCCCCACCCAAGGGCTCCCGTCGTTGAACAGACCTCGCTTAGGCTCCGATGCCCCCGGGCCAGCACTGCCCGCCGTTTCTGCCAGTGGGGTCGTTGCCACGAAACTGCTGCGTCTGCCTTCTCTCAGCCCCCCAGTGTCTCCGACACTGGCGAAGGAGTTCCTAGGTGGAGGCGTCGCCATATGGGAAAACGAGGCCCGCGGGCGGCGCCTTGGCACCCGCGGGGTTGCCCTTACATCTTCCATTCCTAGGGGGGGGGGGGCACCCCAACCAACGCTAAAAAATGAAAAGGGGTCCCATATGGAAAACCCCACCCCGGCAAAATTCAGGCCCCTTTGCGCGGCAAAACGCCCGCTGGAAAAACGGAC